AATAATAATAATAATAATAATAATAATAATAATAATAATAATACAAGGAAGAGGAAGAAGTAGAAGTAGTAGTAGTTCCTAGGTCCTTGGTTAGGACTTGAGCTGTTGAGCTACCAAACAGCCCCGAAAGCTGTGAATCTCATTAAAGATAGTAAAAATAATGTCTTATTTCTTTCACTTTTGTCATCCTTGCAACCTGACTGAAAATAACGAGAAGGAAAAGTGAAAAAGCAAAAAGCCAATATTAGACTTAGTAAAAAAAAAACCCAAAAGCTTAAAATTGCTTCCTCCTGCAAGTTCCTCCTTCACACACCCAAAAGGGGTTCCACCCTCCATAGGAACAACCCCCCCCGCCCTTCGTTTCCAACGTCATTAAGGGAGACACACAGTGGTTGTCTATTAGCAACTCTATTGCAAAGGATTGTGCTAAAATCTATCCAAGCGATAATTTTGCCAGCTTTTAAAGCCCCCACTGCCATTTCTCTCCGGATTATAAGCGCCGCAAACAGAATAACGAAAAAAAAGGTAATAAATTTATCTTTGGTTTGCAACCGGGACAGGAGCGTGCCATGGGAAAAGTTTGAGGAAGGAGAGCATGATGTGTTTGGTCTTTACCAATCTGTATCTGTGCAAAGTTAGAAAACAATTTTGACGCGGTCCTTTACGGAAACGAGATGTTGAAATGAACAAGCTAATGAAATTTAAACGGAAAAAAGAGAAACAGCAAGAAATCTCGAAACGCTTGGCTCAGAGAGGGGGAAAAAAGGCAAAATAATATTTAAAAAAAAAAAAAACCAAGGAAGAAAACAGGTGTAGAAACTGACACGTATGTGAGATTTGTCATCAAAGTTTTGCATAAGTAATGGGGGGGGAGACCCCCCCCCCAAAAAAACCTTCCTTTGGCAGACCAAAATTATTGCAGGCTGGTAGAGGGGGAAAAACAAAGTGATTTTATGCTACAAGACAGCTGGATGAGAATTTTATAACCTATAAAATTAATCAGACATTTTCCAAAAGAATTTTTAAGATCAGGCTTCCAACGGCTGAGCGCGAATTTCACAACTTATAAAAAGTTAATTTATAATTATTTTTTTACAAAATATTTTAAGGTCAGGCTTCAAACAGCGTTAAGCAGCCGTAAGAAAGGCAAACGGGAAGAGATTCCGATTTTCATGATTTTCTCTTTTTGGGGGGGTGGGGTGTGTGTGTGGAGGTGATGAGGGAGGAAATATAGTCTGCGGGAAATTTTTTTTCCCTCCGCAATCTTTTGATCCAGGCTGGGAATTTGAACTCGGGGCACCACATAAGTGCCAAGCGGCAAATTTTCTCTTTTTTTAAAAAAGAAAAGAAAAGAAAATTAGACTTATGGCTGTCGGAGAACTCTAGGCAGCCCCGTAAATCCTCCATCAAAGGTGGGTTGTTGTTTTTTTAAAAAAAGAAACCTCTAGACTTTTTGGAGCCCTCTGCACGTGCTCAGAGGACTTTCCCCAGGCTTGGTGAAGGATGTGCCCCCCCTGTGCCCCCCGGTGCCCGTGTTAAGTGACGGGGTGACTCGGGCCTCAAAGTCCGACTCTGAAGCCCCGTATGAAGGGGAGTCCAGAGGGTACCTTCCTCTTATAGGCTAAATATTCCTCTCCGAAAAAGTGGATCAGGGCCCTTTCTTCCTCCTCGACCCGGTCGCGGAAAAAACGCCAGGAAACCAGGGTGTAGCCGATCAGGCAGACGGGGTTGCAGAGAAGCACCTGGGAGGGAGGAAAATGAGAGAGAGAGAGAGAGAGAAAAAAAAAATGGTTATTGGAGGGAGGGGGGATTCTCTTCCTGGTTGGCACCCTCGAGAAAACCAGCCTGACTTAGTTTAATTTAAAACTCAAGTTGGCACCCCAAGTCCAGGGCTCCCATCGCTGGAGGGTTTTAAGAGGAGCCATTTGAGTTGGGAATCGCCTCCTGCCTTAAGTGGCGGGCTGGACTAGATGGCCTCTGAGGTCCCTTCCAGCCCCACAGTCCTATGTTCTAACGTCACCTTGTAGGGGGTGACAAGCTAGGAAAGGCAGCGAGGGTTGTATTTGCACAATCTTGGAAAAAACGAGAATGCTCCATGCTCCATGGACTTCCCTTCTCAGGTGGCCACCAAAGCGGACCACGTGACTCCTGTCGTAAATACGAATCGGTCCCCAAGGGGCTGAATCTTGGTCACATGACCGTGAGGACGCTGCGATAGTCGTTAAGTGTGAAGATCGGTCGCAAGTCCCTTTTCCCCCCAGTGACCTCGTAACTTCAAACGGCCACTAAACGAACGGTTAAGTCGAGGACCGCCCGGAATGAAGGCCATTCTTTCGTTACGGCGACCTGCCCCTACCTGAGTTCCGATGCTCCAGGAGAACCACCCCACGTACGAAGGGTGCCGGCACCAGCCGTATACGCCCTGCGTCACCAGCCGGTGTGATGCCGACTTCTCGTTCTGGACGATGTGGTTGAAATTCGAGCCAGCCGTCAGCATGGCTGCCTTGCGCAGGAAGTCGCCCAGCACGACCATCAGCAGCCCAGCGGAGCTCAGCCAGCCCAACTGCTTCAGTTCTGAGAGAGAGAGAGAGAGAGAGACGGGCGTTTCACACACAAAATAGGGGTGGGTGGGCCTCGACTTGCAACAGTCGGTTCAGTGGCCGTTCAGTTACAAATAGCAGAGGAGGAGGAACTTGGTGGCAGACGTGGAAAACGCTCCATCCATCCATCCATCTGTAGCTCTCTATCATCTGTCTATCCTATCTATCTATCCCTCTATCCATCCATCCATCTATCCATCTACCATCTCTCCATACCTCTCCCTCTTTCTCTAATGACCAATCCAAGCATTCCCCACCTGGGAAAATGAATTTTTCCACGGTGAACTCGACCCAGGAGGAAAGGGCGGCCATCTTGTACTCAAAGCTGTGGTTGAGCAGGAAGGAGTCCAGAGACAGGCTACGGGGGTTGTTGACCGCTGTGACCAAATATTCTGAGTAATGGAAGAGGGACAACGAACACATGTACCTACAAAAAGAGAGAGAGAGAGAGAGAGACAGAGAGACAAGCAAGGAGATGCACAATTGAGAGAAAAAAAAAACTGTTTCAAACTTCAAGAAAATCCCACCCCCCCAAACCAGCCATGTTTTGCCTGTAATGTCAACAAGAATCAACCAGCCTTTATTAAAATCTACTTTGAGTATCATGTGGGTTATTTATTTGTTTATTTATTAAATTTGTTTGCCGCCTGTCTTGTTGCAAGGCAACCCAGGGAAGTTTTGTTTAGTGTCGATTTATGAGATGTTGATGTTTCTTTTATCCAGCCACAAAAACCTGGGCGATAATAATCATTTTGTTATTGGGATGCTATTTTTCATGTTAACACACCCAGTTTCCTTGTGCTTGTAACACCAGTTTGTGGTAACAGGTAAGCGCAAACGTAATTTGCTTTTTAAATTACAGCTACGGTTACAATCCTAGACTTGAAAGGGTCCAAGAGAAAAGGACCTTAAGAGACTGTAAAATCCCAGGGCTGGAAAAGACCTTGGAGATCTTCTAATCCAGCCCCCTGCCCAAGGCCCTAGGCTGAAACATTGGGAAGGGACCTGTGAGGTCAAGAAGAGGCTGGACTGCCAATTGTTAGAAATGGTGTAGGGTCTCCCGCTTGGGCGGGGGGGGGGGGTGTTGGACTGGATGACCTACAAGGTCCCTTCCAACTCTGATTCTCTGTTATCTGTCATCTAGTCCAAAACTTGGGTTATTCTTACCAGCCAAAATGTTTCCAGGAAGACTGCCTGAAGCTGAGCAGCAAGCCGCATCCGAACGCAAAGCCCAGGAAACAGGCCCGGATCGCGATCTGCAAGAAAGAGGCAGACAAGGAGGGTTAGCTGGGAGGGCAGGCAGGCTGCTATGGCACTGGTAGGGCTCCTTGGGGCAGACGGGGGTGGGAGGGACTGCAGGCAAGTGGGCTGCATTAGGTCAAAACTACGGGGCTCAAACGGAGCTTCTTCGGCCTAGCCAACTTTTGTGTGTACAGGCAGCCCTCGACTTACGACCGCCATCGAGGTCAACATTTCTGCTGCTAAGTGACACCGTTGCTAAGGACTTTGTCCCATTTTAATGACCTTTCTGGACATAACAGTTAAGTGAACAGTTAACCATGTGACACCCAGGGACAAACTGCAGCCGTCATAAGCATGAGCCAGTTGCCAAGCATCTGTGATTACGTGACCTGCGGGGATGCCGCAATGGTTGCTAAGTGTGGAAAAATGGTCATATTTAGAAGGGACCTCCGAGGTCATCTAGCCCAAACCCCAGGGAGTTAAGCTAAACCAAAATTAACACACACACACACACACACAGCCAATTTCAGTTCTGACCCTCTCTTGTGGGGGTTGCAAAGCCTGGAGTCAAAATAGCCCTCTGTACATGCTCAGGAGCCCTTCCCCACCCCCCCCCCCCACATTCCAAGGCAGAAAGCAGCTCCTAAAAGGATGCTCCTAAGCCACGCCCCCGAGGACCAGGGGGCGTGGCCTCCTCACCTGGTACATCCCGCCTGGCGCTCGGCCCCAGGCCAACAGGAGCGTCGCGTTGGCGCCGGCGACGTGAAGGGCCAAAGCGGCCCGGCCTTGGAAGCCGGCCCGGAGCAGGAGAGGCACGGCGGCCACCACGGAGCCGCCCAGCAAGAAAGCGGCCAGGCTAGTGCGCGCCTCCGCCCCGCGGAACCGTCCGGCCCTCCCCTGCTCGCCGGCCATGGCGAACGGCCCGAGGCCCGCTCAGCTCTCGCGAGACTTGCGGCGCGCGAAAAGGGGCGTGGCCGGCCCTCCTATAAATCTCGCGAGACCCCCTCCGCGTCGAGATAGGAGTAGTATGTAGAGATATGAAAAGTGTAGAGGTACCCAAGGGCTATTTCTGAGTCAATTTCCGAGCCCCTACCAGCGCTTTGAGTCCCATGGGGCTGCGCCGGCAGGCAGCACATGGGAGTTGGAGTCCTTTGGCAATTTGAAGCTCCCCTCCGTTGCATTTAACATCTTAAATTTTCTTTATATGACACTCAAAAGCAACCTCAACAAACAATTGTAAGCAAGATTATGGAGAAGATGCACAAAAAAATTGTAACCAACCGACACACTGTATGTACGTGATTGGAAGATGGTTTTATGTTTTATGTTTTGTTTGTGTATGTTTGTCCAAAAATAAAAAAATAATAATTAAAAAAGCCATCTCAGCCAGTGATTTTATTGCTCGCTGAAGCAATTTAGTGTCCGCAGTCTTTTCAGCACCACGGACAGCGACTCTCCGCTTGGGCGCACCTAGGCTCAGCTAGATGACTTTGAGGTGCCTCTTGGGCTGGGACCCAGCAGATTTTAATCACATGAGTACAATGGTCACAAGTGAGAAAATTAGTCCCAAGTCGCTTTTTTCAGTGCCGTTGTAACTTTGGACCGTCACTAAATGAGTGTTTTATTTTATAGATCGGCGATGCTCAAATGCCCCCAAATTGTCAGATGTTTCTCTCGGGCGACTTCCTTGCCCTTTTTTACCTATTCCAACATTTAGAGCAGTGCCTTTCAACCTTGTTAAGATGTCTGAACTCAGAATTCCCCAGCTTGTTATTTTATTCCTCCCATTTCCTTACAGCAGAGAGATTGCAAAGGCATCCAACAGGGACAGATGTAAAAAGCCAAGCGTTATCACCAGGGAATAAGGGGAGTTCAAGTTGACCGATCTTAAAGGTGCCAAGAAACTCTGCTCTCCACACAAATTTTGAATTAAAAGTACCCCGGCCCTCTGGAAGAAAATGAATGACCAGACGAGGCGACTTTTCTTTTTAATTTTTAATTCAACTTTTTACAGGAAGAAATCCTCAAGAGGTCCAAAAACTTAAAAAAGAGAGAAAGAGAGCACGCTACAAATAGTTTGGGAACAAAAAACCGCTGTGAAGAAAACGTGTTCTGGTTGAAAGACCAAAGTTCGCTGGGACGTGTTCTAGAAACAGGGTTATATCGAACACGGAGCAAACACCCACTTAGATACCAGAGAGGAAAAAACAGGGGTACAAAGGATCGCCCTAAAAGTTGGAAGTCGCAGAACGAATTAAAATGCTTCCAAAAGTCTGGAAATGCCACGAACCCCATTTCTCAACTTGGAAAAATAAAACAAATACAAGTATTGCCTTATGACCCCAGGAAGAGATAAAAAGATACAGTACAACAAAGGGTCCAACAGCCCCCCTCCCCGATATCCCACCCTCCTCCTGTGTAAAAGAAGGCCAAAACCTCTGGCTGGTTGGATGACCGCTGGGAATCCCAAAATGGCCAGCGTGGTTAATTTTTAAAACCCTTTTAAAAAGGCACGATATTCTTTATTGTTTTGCTTTCTTTCTTTCTTTCTTTCTTTTTTTTGCAGGGAGGTGAGATTTGAGACAGCGGGAAGGGAGCTGCCATGAAAGTTTTTAAAAATTAATTTTAAAAAATCAATTTAAAAAAATTCGCCCATTTCCCCCCCCATCTGTTCTCAAGAGGTACTGTCCATCGTTCCTGGTGTGTTCTTGAGTTGTGCGGTTCCTTTGGGGGAGACCCTTTCATGGTGGGTTATTGTGCAAGTTAGGCTCACCCTCGTCCTCTCATGAGGACTACAAACTTGTCTAGTTTCTCAAAAAAGAAATGGAACATTTAAGCTGTTCTCTTTCGTTCACAAGATTAGTTCTGAGGATGTTTCTTCCCATCTGACAGATTTGATCATGATGGGAGGTGGGCTTATTAACAATGGCTTGTTCAAATAATCCTGGTTAAAAGTGGCAACTCCATCTTGGCTTAAGTAAACCAATTGGCTTTCTGAGTTTTTTTTGGGGGGGAGGTAAAACTTTTGAATGCACGGTGCCTGATTATATTCTGCATAGATATTACACAGCTCGCTTCCTGCTTGGAGACGCGAACAGTTTTACAACACTAGAACTGAGGAAATTGAGCTTCCATATTTAGTGGCAGTCTACCAGGATAAAGACACTAGTGGTTGTTTTCTCATCATGAATATTTGGGTTTTTTCAGGAGGATGCATCTAAATTTGATGGGTGCAGAAGAAGGGTAGGCTTCAACGTCCAGCATTCCCCAGCCAGTCATTACTCTCTTACAATCCCCTTCCACTGCAATCTCTCTGTTCTGGGAAGAGAGTGGGTGGAAAAAAACAAAACGAGAATGACTGGCCGGGGAATTCTGGGAAGTCCACCCATCTGAAATGTGCAAAATTGGGAACTATGGATCGAAAGACAAACCCGCATAAAGTTTAGATGCCATTCCAAGCTACAGAAAACAGAATTAAATTCGGTTTTTAGATCTAGCCTTATTCTGCCTTTTTTGTTTTTGCTTTTAGGGAGAGGAACAGAGGACACCAATTTTTGCATTGGTCATAATTCAAGGCTTTGGACGTTAAGCAGAGTGAAAGATAAACTAGGCCTAGAGTTATATGCTGGGGGAAGAGTGTGATTTTTTTTTTTAAAGAAAAGCCCAGAACAATAGAAATGGCACAATTTGTCTAGATTTGGCACCAACCAACACCCACTTCAGATAAAATGTGTTTTTGGAGTAGAAAAAAAATATTCTTATTGCCTTCATTTTGATTTTTTGTTTTGTAAATTCCCACTATCTACAGTTTGGGAAACTCAGCTTCCTTTTGGGGTGTCTTGAGCCCAGGAAGCAAACTATAAAAATTGTTTTGGTTTTACAATGTGTAAACTGGCTTTTTTGGGGTGGGGGTGGGATCTTCCCAAGGCCACCACAGCCTCAGCACAATTTTTTAATAATTGGATCGCATGGAGAGATCTCCCTTCTCGTCCAAAATAGCGAACTATCCCTGAACTGATAGGTGAGGGCACTTGTTGTGAACGCTCGGTAAAAGTCCAGAAAAGTTGCGTGCTCCCAACCATAGAGAGAGGAAGAAAGAGGGGCACTTTCACTTTTTAGCACAACTAGGACGTTTGGGGGGGGGGCAGGTGGCCCCTTAAAATCAGGACAGCATACAAATGAAATTAAAAGGCGAAAGTTTCCTGTAATATTAGCAGCCGCTGCTCTCTACTCTCCCTTTCTCTCCGGGCCCTCATTTCCTCCCCATCCCACTTATTTTCAAATCAAAGAACATGCAAATATCTACCTGGATTCGGGCAGAAAAATCCATCCCCTTGGCCTGCACTGAACTGACCAGGTGTTAAAAACATCTGGTGTTAAAACATCTGGTGGGGGGGAGAGGATGGGGTTTCCTGCTTGTCCCAGCGCAGGAACCCCTGAGAAGGGGCAGGGCGGGTGTGAGACGGGGAAAAACTCTGTTCCACAACGCAGGAGAAAAAGTAAACGTTGTGTCCCCTAGTATACAGTAATAAGGGAGTTTAACAGCCCTAAAACGTTCCCCTCAAAGCTGGATCTGTTGGGATCCAAGCATTCTCCCCCCGCCCCCACCCCATATCCCATTATCTGGGGCAGCAACCCCACTGGTTATGGGTCAGAGCAACGCCTCCTGCAGGGATTGCGCTGGTTGTGGAATTGCTTGAGTGGGATGCTGCAAAAGGAAAGCTGCAATTCTCTGTACAATCTTTTCCCTCCTCGTCTGTTTCCGCATCCTGCAGGCCACCCTCGGGAGGTTATGGGGCCGTGGCTGGCTCTGTGCAGGATGTGGGGTGAGGCTTTGGCACTGAACAGGAGGTCGGGTGGCTGCTAGGGGGCTGGGGAATGAGCCCAAAGGGATTTTTTCCTGGATCAGACTGAAAATTTTGCTCCTGAGAGGAGAGAAACCTTCAACCTTGTTAGCAAACAATCAGAGTTTGTCCCAGTCCCAACGCTGACGCTATTCCGGAATAACGGACTACATGCATGCAACATTATTCCAGAATAACGGACCACATGCATGCAACACTATTCCAGAATAATTGACCACATCAATGCGACACTATTCTGGAATAACGGACGCCATGCCTGTGACATTATTCTGGAATAACAGACCGTGTGCATGCAACCCTTCTGGAATAACGGACCCCTTGCAGGTGACGCTATTTTGGAAGAATGGACCCCACGCGCATCTCAACCCCCCCCACCCCCTCATTGCCCGTAAAGAGGGTCCCTTGGAATGGAGAGCAAGGACTGAAAAACTTGGGGGCGTGTACCCTGCCCAGCCTTTTCCTTAAAGGGGACCTGGGCTCTTTTGGGCAACAACTTCCTCCCACGGCCGTGCGCCAAGAGAGAAGGATCAGTACCCAAAGACATGCACATTTAACATCTACCTAGAAAAGTTCTTGGAGGACATGTGAGAGGATTAGAAAAATGAACCAAACCAAAAAGTCCGTCGTTTTGGGACGAGCTGTGGGGGTTCTTGCAGTAGAAAAGGAAGAGAGGAGAGCGTTACCCTCCCTTGCCCCGAGCTGAGATACGACCCGTCTGGATTCGAAGTGCTTTGCTTACACGGTTGCTCTCCAAAACATCTTGCTTAATGTCTCTCTCTCTCTCTCTCCTGCTTGTGGCAACCTGGACGAGATACAAGATAAAGGTTCTTTGGTGCTTTGTCCAGTTCCCGTTTACCAAATCCAGACCACAACCGGAGGGCATCCCGTTGAGCGAGAAACAAATCTGGAAACTGAACGGCAGCCAACTCGCCATGGGACAACTCAACAAATACAAAAGTTAATTTCGACGGATTCGTGGCCCATAATAACAAAAGAAAGTCATTGCAGAAATACGGGAGTTACAAAAATTTCAACAAAAACATGGCTGCCGATCACAAAGTAACAGAGCGATAGGTCTGACGCCTTGTTGAATTGTCCTGAGTTGTCCCACGATGAGTTGGCCACAACGGGTTGTCCTAGACTGCCTGGAAGATCCGCGTACGAAGCAATCCCGGGAACCTACGAGGCCGAGCTGATCGAATCCGAGTGGAACGTGACGTATCCCGAGGAGGCTGAGGGCGAGCTCAAGAAACTGCTCGTACTCCCCTTGCTCCCGTTTTTCTGCAGGTTGTCTTGGCCTCTCCAAGAAGGGCTCAGCCCCGTTCGGAAACATTCGGTCTTGGAGCAGCTCCTGATCATCGGACAGTCCTCCGTGCCGGGACTCTCGCAGAGTTCGACGTGAATCTGTTTGTGGCAAGGCGTGTCCAAGCTCCCTTTGGGGAAAAGGATCCGAGAGTCCTCCTGGGCCGGGAGAAGGACCGGTACTGCCAGAGAACTCCCTCGTCCTTGGACTGAGATGCTTCGCAAGACTTGAGGCTCTCGTTCGAAAGTTGTCAGAGGGAAGTCTCGGAGAACCGTGGCGGTCGAACGGCGTGGAAAGGCATCTGGGAGGAGAGAGACAGAGGCCGAGCGCACCGGCGGTCTCCTCAGGGTAGGGCTGGGAACGGGCTCCTCCGCGAAATCCTCTTTGCTGAAGCACTTGTAGCCTCCCTGCTGGTGGAGGTCTTCGCAGGAGAAGGGCTTGAGGGATAACGGGCTCTCGGCCGACTTCCGGCGCTTCCGGTGGGGACGCCGTTCCTCCTGGTAGGATAGGACGCTGGTCCTCCGCCGGTCATAGCGAGGCTGAGGGAGGAGCAGGCTTGCCAGTTCGGCAGTGATGTCCTCTCCTGCCACCCAGTGCTGAAAGTAGGCCGAAATCTGGCTGGTGGTCCAAATCTCAGTTTCATCGTGCGAGAAACGCCTGGTCGGAGGGACCTGCAGGAGAGCAAGAAAACCCATCATTTGGGAAATGCACCCTGCGACAGCAAGTGAGCAGGTAGCTTAAGAGTGGGACTCCCTCAGTATACCTTAGATAAAATACACCGGAAATCAATAACAGGGTGAGGACTGTTTGCCTGCTGGAAATTTGGATCCAACCTCGTGGGAACGGGCTTCCTTTTTACACACTAGAGAAACGAGAACGGCCAAACCCTGGTCCCATCGTTCCCGAGGCCAGCCTGCTCACCTGGAGATACTGCATTTTGTCCTCTGGGACGGGCTTCGCGGCGTAGACCTGAGGGATCCCTCGCTCCAGGGCCGACAGGTCATAGCTGGTGATCTGGTCCACCGTGAGCACGTCGCCCGAGAGGCTGTCGGGAAAGGTTGGCGAGTACATCGCGTCCGTGGAGACCGGCCGGTCCAAGTTGGTCTCTTTGGTTCCCAAGGTAGACAAGAGAGGGCAGGGGATAAACAGGGGGAGAGTCAGGGTCTTCCCAGTTCCCGCGACGAGAACTTTGGCAAGTTCTGAAAGTACAATTCTTCCGCCGTTGCCCTTACAGCCGAAGAAACTAGGGAGGGTCCCTTTGTCAACTCGTAAAATATTTCGATTGTCTTTTTAGAGGGAGGGGGGAAAGAGCAGTGCGGCAGCTCGCAAACCGGAAGTGCATTCCATAAATGTTTTTAAAGATAGTTTCTAGGTGACCGAAGTTTCTGCCATGCAAAATTCTAACCAGAGAGCATGACTGATGACTCTGGGCTATGGATGGGTCTCATTGGAGAATATGATTTATGAGACACCCAGGAGTTGGGGGGGAAACCAGGGTCAAGAGTGACAATGAATGATGTGTCTCAGAGCTGGCTGCACCCAGGCAGTGCCAGCATGTTAACTCCCAATAAATCCTTTGGAAGTTTTGGAAGTTTGGCTCGAGACTCCTGATTTAAATAGGGGTTACTGCCAGAATCCTGCCACCCTTCTCTTTATCTACCTGTTATGCCGCTGCGGGCTACATGGTCTCTTATCTAATCGTTCCATCGGCCGTGTCCCTTTTCCCCGTCTCCAAAGCAGGGAGCACGTGTACTGAAGTGTAGTCAAAGTACCCCACCTGTACTTGAGGTACCCCACCCCCTGGGAATGGCACCTGCTCACCTTCTCCACCGTCGTCGTTGGACATGATGGCCACGCACTTCTCCCAGACCGAGCGGACGTCGGCCCGGTAGCGATCGCAGGCCCAAAGGAACAAGGGCAGGAGAAGGGATTGGGCCACGGAGCACCAGAGGATGCACAGGATCATCCAGTCGTAGGCCACGTCCGACTTCAGGCTGGCAAAACTCACCACCTGAACGGGAGAGGCGTGGCACTAAGGCAGGGCCCCCCAAAACGTGGCCACTTTAAGACTTGTGGACTTCAACTCCCAATTCTGGCAGTTGAAGCCCACAAGTCTTAAAGTGGCCAAGTTTGGAGACCTCTGGACTAAGGGAAGCAAACTTCTAATCCATTCTAATAAGACAGGCTGAAATGATGAATCAATTATCAATTCTAATTTCCTTTCTCCCTCCCTCCCTTCCCCTCCCCTTCTATTTCCTCCCCTTTCTTATTTTTTTATAAACACTTCAAGGTCCAAATATACCTAATACTCTTTCCTCCTCCTCTTTTACACACAACAACAACCCCGCCAGGTGGGCTGGCTGAGAGAGTAACTGGCCCAAGGGGACCCAGCTGGCTTTTATCCAAAATCCACTGCAATTGAATCAATCTAAACAATAAGGGAGGCTATAAATTTTGCCTCTGTCATCATCTCTCTCTCGTCTATCTGTGTCCATCCATCCATCATCTCTCTCCCTCACATCTCTCTTTCTGTCTATCCCTCCCTCCATATCTATCTATCTATCATCTATCTATCTATCTATCTATCTATCTATCTATCTATCTATCTATCATCTCTCTCTCTCCTCTGTCTCTATCTATGTCTATCCCTCTATCTCTCCCACTATCCATCTATTCTGTGCCTCTTTGGCAGGAGACACCAGATTCTCCTCCAATGTCTCTGCTTGGGGCCACCAACACCTCCGTCCAAATGACCCCACCCTAAGTGGGACTGTTGCCAGCAACCACAAGCCCCCCCCACTCCTGCCCCACCAACGTTACCAAGACAGGAAACCCCATCAGGAAATCGTAGAGGAAAACGATGCCGGTGATCAGGTATGTGATCTGGAGAGAAGTCTTGATGGGTTCCGATCCGTCGATGGAGGAGCGGCGCTTGCCCTGGGCGTCCTCCACCACGATGGTGGGCACGTTGAACTTGTTCTTGTCCAGGGTGTTGCCCGCTTGGATGGAGAAGGTCTGGAAGAGGGCGATGGCCACGCAGACCACCCCCATGGCCACGCTGCCGCTGATGAGGAGCAGGAAGCAGACGCCAAAGCCGAGACCGATTTCCGTGACGATGAAACGGCAGTCGCTGGCGTAGAACCTCTCGGTGGTGTCGTGCCAGCCCACAGCGGGCAGCGTGGAGAGGATGAAGGAGACCATCCAGATGCCCATCACCGTGTGGACCGCTTGCTTCTTGGTATTGCTCAATCTGCAGGAAGGGAAAAGAGCCCCCGCCCCGCTAAGATTGGACGGGATTCCCTATCCGTTAGGTCAGGGGTCTCCACACTTGGCCCCTTCTGCTAGAACTGCTTGATGATAACGGATTCCTTTTGATGTGCATCCCTGCTTACTCTCTTGTGGTCCCCTCCTCTGCAATCGCTCCAGCATAGCTGCCTAAGGAATTCAGGGAGTCCGATGGATGGATGAATGGACGAATAGATGGATGAATGGAGAAATGGATGGATGAATAGATAGGTGATGGGTCAAATAAATGAATGGATGGACAGATGAAAGGATGGAGGAACAGATGGGTAGACAGATATATAGATGGATGGGTGAATGGACAGATGATGGATGGATGGACAGACGGATGAAGATTTGAAGAGCTGGATGGACGAAGAGATGGATAGGCAGATGAATGGATGGATAGGTGGATGGAGAGATGAATGCATAGATCATGGATCAATGAATGGCTAGATGATGGATTGGAGGAGAGATTGATCTGGGAAAGATTCATCTACCTAACCCCTTGGATCCACACCCCACCGTTTCCTTCAGGAGCTGAAGGGGGCCTCCTCAGCATTTCTCCCCCCCTCCCACCCCCGAGCTCCCACCTGTAGTTAACTGGCCAACGGACCATCCACATCCGGTGATAGGAGAGCGAGGTGACGGAGAAACAGGTGGCCAACGTCAAGGTGTAGAAGGTAGAGACGAAGACTTTGCAGAGGCCCTCGTTCCACTCGTAGTCCGAGTGCCGCTGGCGCAGCTGGATGACCGAGTACATGGTGATGGGCACGGAGATGTTGAGGATGTGGGTCCCTGCCAGGGTGCAGATGAGGAACTCCAGCGGCTTCCATTTCTTCTGCTTGGCGCTGACGCTCAGGATGCCCCAAGCGTTGGCCAGCACCGCCAAGCCCGAGCAGACCAGCCAGGCCACCGCGTTGTTCTGCAGGCTCCGTTCGTGGTTCATGGTGGAGGGCAGTGCGCCCGCCAGCCGGGGAGGAGGCCAGGTGAGGATGGCGAACCAGGAAAGGGGCGGGCAGGGGAGGCATCCTATCAGAGAGGCAGCGCCATCAGGGGTGGGTCAGAGGAGGCGGCGCCCCCCACCTGCGCACCGACAAGCCGGGGTCGATGGACGTCGTGTGGTGGCCCATGTTTCTGGAACGGAAGAACCGTCCAATACAATTCAATTCAATCATTTAATAAATTTAACGATTTAACTTAACTAATTTAATTAATTTAAATTTTATTCCATTGCATTGTATTTTGTTTTATTATTGTATTTTTCATTATTTTATTGTTTATAAGTTTATAAGTTTTATATGTTTATAAGTTTATAAGTTTTATTGTTTTGTTTTATTTTTTAAATTTATTTCTTGAAAAACATGGGCAATCCCAGAAGCTCTGAGTTTTCCTGGTCTCTTTTCTTGGTTTCTTCCAGGCAGGTTTTGCCCTCCAAGCTGCAAATCCATCTTTTCGCTCTCACCCCTTCCAAACACCCATGTCATTTTATTTTTATTTATTCAATTCTTGTTTATTAAATTAACATTCTCGTGGTTTCTGCATTTCTGCCTGGCCTCTTGGCTTGGGAAAAATTATGTATTTATTATTTATGTATTGTTTATTATTAAATTTATTAAAAGAAGCGGACAATCCAAGAAGCTGCCGCAGTTTTCCTCTCCCGTCACCATCGCTTCTTCCTTGGGTGCTGTGAACCTTCAAGACACAAATCAATCTTTTTGCTTCCCGTCTCCAAACACGGGGGTAATTTTTATATATTTACATGTAAATTACATATAAATTACATATAATATGGTAATATGATATAGTGTAGTATAGTATCGTAGTATAATGCAAAATAATATAGTATAATACAATACAATATAGTAATATAATATAGTAGTATAGTATTGTCAGTGTAATGCAATATAATACAATGTAATGTAGTATAGTATAGTATAATGTAATATTATATATATATATATATATATATATATATATATATATATACACACACATACATACACACACACAATATGATAGATAGATAGATATACTTCATATAGATATAGACAGATAGAGATGGATAGATATAGAGATAGAGATAGATGGATAATATAGATAGCTGGATAGATAGATACAGATATATATCTTATTCACTAAATACCATTTCTGATCGTTTCTGCATTTTTGCCTTGCCTTCTCAACCTGGGGGATAAACAGGGAAATCTCTTCCAACCTCCGAAGAAATATTTCTTGCCCTCCTCCAATTTAATGTTTCATCTGCCACGTTTCCGGCAGCTGTAACTGAGGCTAACTAAAAATGTCGTTATTTCCTTTCCTTTTTTTTTCCTTAAAAAAAATAAAAGCGGTGCATTTCCCAAAAACGGAGGGGAAAATAAAATAAAATAAAATAAAATAAAAGCAAGCCACAGCCCGAAGGGTTTTATTCTTCGTGGCTTGGCTGGGCTTCGGGGCTGCAGCGGCTTCCAAGCAAAACAACAAAGCAAATTCTCCAAGGAATTTGTGGAGAGAAACGGCCAGAAATAGAAGCTGCTCTTCTCAGATATCACGTTTATTCTCTCCGCTTCTTGGGTTTTTTTTTTTTAAAAAAAACATTCCTCCCCACAATTTTGCATGCAGATAGTCCTCAATTTACGACCACAATGGGAGCCAGAAGTAAGCCATTAAACGAGTTGCCGCCGATTTCACAAATTTGTCTGTGGTGGTTGTAATGTGAACCGCCCTGGTTGTTAAACGAATCATGCAGTTGTTGAACAAACGCCAGCTTACCCCCCTTTGCTTGTCAGAGCCCCCCCTTGGTGGGGGGTCACAAATCACGTGACCCCCGGGATAAATTTATGCCGGTAGCCAAAGTGTCCTCATTTGGATTGCATGACTGCCGGGGACGCTACGTCATAAGTGCGAGGACCTGTTACAGGCCACTTTCCCCGCCCAGTGACAGAGGATTTAAGGACAGCCTTAGAGAATACAAGTGGTCCTCAAATTGCAGCCGTTCATTTAATGATGCTCCAAAGATACAACGGCACTGGGGAAAAAAAGGGGCTTGGGACCGTGTTTTTTCATACTTACGACCGTGATAGAAATCCAAACACTTGGCCGCCGGTTCCTATTTAAGTGAGATCCCTGTTAAGTTAGGAAAACGGTCATTAAGCGAGTTTGGCTCCTCCATGGACCAAAGTGGATTGTGTGACCCCAGGACAATGCGACCCATCACAACTCAGAGTCAGTGGCCGAGTGTCTGAATTTTGATCATGTGCAACAGCCATAAGTGTGAAAAATGCTCCTCAATTCCTTTTTTTTTTTGAATAGTCACTAAGTGAACTCTTTGTAAGTCGGGGACCACCTGTATTTTTTAAAAAAATCTGATTTTTTTGAAATGAAACCACAACGGGGCAATGTTGTTCCACGGATTGTTTGCTGAATTTTAGGTGCCTTTTCGATAAAAAGTTCATGGCGCGACAACGGAGAAAAATGATTATTTTTGAAGAATTATTATTTTCCAAGGCAAAGACGAGACCCCCACCCCCACCCCCCAAAAAATTCCTTCTAGCAAAGGAAAATCATCCCCCCCACCTCCCAATTTACTCCCATCAATTTTCACCCTTTAAAGGAAAAAAAAATCTGCTTTCCATTTTTAAACAAATGTCAGGATTGGCCTTAACTGAGGTGTCTCTCTCTCTCTCTCTCTCTCTCTCTCTCCTCCTCTCTCTCTCTCTCCCTCTCCCTTTCTTTTTTTTTTAAAGGAAACATTAAATCAGACCAAGGCAGAATATTAGCACATCCTGGCAGGTTGGTTTTAATCCCAGTTTCCTGAACAAGCCATAATGACTTTGTTCTGTAAAAATGACTTTTTACTACAAGCCGCAATAAATGAAAAGCCGTGCAACCTTTCCGGGGATTTATTTCCAAATAGATAAAAGCAGCGGTAGATTTAACTTCCATTCAGATTAAATTTTAATTTGCGTTCCGTATAATTAATAGCCTTACGCCCTGTGCCGCATTTACTGATTTGGGGTCTGTGCCAGAATGTAATCTCTGGTTTAGGAATAATAGCCTGCGAGGAAGCAGCCAGCCCCCCGTTCAAATCCTCCCCCTAAAATCAATCTATCTATCTATCTATCTATCTATCTATCTATCTATCTATCTATCTATCTATCTATCTATCGTCCATCATTGTTACGCATCTCTGTTATCTCTCTCGCCTACCTACCTATCATCCATCCATCGTCTTTATCAATTCTAACCCCTATTATCTTTCTCTCCTCTTTCTTTCTCTCCATCTTGTTTCTCTCTCTCAGAAACAAATCTATCTGTATCATCTTTTTCTCCTCTTTCCATCTTCTATCACTATCTCTCTCCCTCTCATCTCTCTCTCTCTCTCTCTCTCTCTATCTTTCTCTCATCTGTCTCTGTCCTTCCATCCATCCATCCATCCATTCACCCATCCGTCCTCTCTCCATCTCTACCTCTTTCTCTCTCATTCCATCTCTTCCTCTCTCCCTCTCCCTATCTCTCCATTTCTTCATCTCTCTCTCTTTCTCTCATTCCATCTCTCTTTCTCTCTCCTTCTCTCTCTCGGGGGGCAGCCTCGCAGAGCATCCGTGTAAAAAGCCGGCAGCTTCAGCAGCGTCGGGAGAGAAGTGTCAAAAAAATACGACAGAAGTTGGTTTAAGATTTAATTGGGAGCGACAACTAAGCCAGCTCCGTTTTTTCGGCTGGCACAGCCATTTTAAGGCACGGGTGAAGATCTTCCCCACGGTTTATTAGCCCAGTGGGTTGAAAACAGCTGGAGCGAAATTGCTCAGATGTGGGTGGACTCGGCAGGAGGAAGAGCCCTGCTCCAACCGGGAAAATAAATAACTTTTTTTTAAAAAAGGGACTGTATTTTTGACTTTAAGTACAGCAATATAGATAATCCTCGACTTACGACCAAAAACCAAGGGCAGAATTGCCACTGCTAAGCAAGGCGGTGGCTCAGGGAGTCAGGCCCCATTTGATGGCTTTTCTCTCTTTTTGAAGTCATTTTTATCTGGGCCGTCAACGGTCGCTAAACGAGAGGTTGCCTGTTGCCTGCACTCAAAGGCACATTTTTTAAAAGCGTGGATAGAAAGTCGTAAGTCCCCTTTTCCAGTGCCGCTGTAACGTTTGGACGGTCGCTAAACGAATGTTTGTAAGTGGAAGACTACCTGTTATTTTAAAAAATGGAACGCTTGAGGACTAGTTTCCTTTTTAACAAAAGAAACGCTTCCAAACTGCTTCGCGCAAAAGCCCTGCAAAATTGTACTCCCCCTCCCCTCGCCAAGGAGGCTCACCCAACGCACCTGCCTCTAAGCCCAGGTTAAGCTGCACACAAAGACAAGCTGACAGCAAGGGTCAGGCTAGACGACCTCTGGGGACATGCTTCGGGGGAAAAATGGTGTGAATAAAGCCCTTTTTAATTTGTACACAATTTCTCTTGCCTAGGCTACCCTTCCCTGGTCTGGCTGCAAATTCGGGGTGCAAACAACCTGGGAGAAGACTGGATTGAGCTCCTAAAAACGCGAATTATGACCACTTATTGGACGGTCGCAAGAGGGGATCGCATGACCCCAGGGACACTGCGACCATCGTAAATACAAGTCAGCTGCCCTTAATTTGTCTTGAAATGTGGGGAGGCACTAGGATGGTTTATAATCGCCCAATGAAAAATGTATTGTTTCAGGTAATGCTGTAGTTACAACAGTTCGTTCAGTGACCACTTCGAAGTTAGGATGAAACTGGAGGAAAAAAAAGTGATTTAGAACCAGTCCTCACAATTACAACCGTTGCCAGGGTCACGAGATCAGCATTCAGACTCTCGGCTTCAGATTTATGAGGAGAGTCACGCGATTCCCCTTTAGTGACCGCCTGGTCAACCAAGTTAGCAGGGAAGCCCAATTCGCTTAACAACAGCCATGATTCACTTGCAAAAATGGTTGTACAAAGGGGCAA